CAACTGCAAGGACTACTTTTTGCGCACTTATTTTTTCTGGCCGCGTAAGACTTGTCAAATTAAAGGGAACTCTTTTGCTTCAATGTATGAATGTTTTGTTATAAAACAAATGGTAAACACCAGAACATACACTGTTGAGTTATGGATGCACTTGAAAGGTTTGCTAAGCACTCAAGAAAATAGGGTCGCTCCCGGCTATCGCCTCACGCGACTCTCACGCTTCTTTCATGGTTAGCAACCTCCTGCGAGTATCCATAACTCAATTGTGTATGCTGTGATGTTTACCATTTGTTAATTGACGTCTTCACTTGATAAAGGGCTCCATGAACTGTAAAAACATGGCCTGTTTCACGCAGCTACATCAGGGTATGCAGGGGCGTATCCAGGATTTTTCAAAGGGGGGGGTCACAGCGGCTACTCACCATTTACATCGCTGCTCTCCCACGTGTATATCAGCGGGCTCAGTCGTATTATCGCAGCATGAAGGCCCATATTAACTAAATACAAGAGCCGTTGACGAAAATACTTACAAAAANGGTTTGATGCTAAGGCCTTTTCAGTGCACGAGCTTGAATCCCAAGCAAGTAAAGGATATTCAAAATGCCAAGATGGGTGTAAATCACAATTGTAGTTCTTGCTTTGAGTTTAACCGTTGAACTTTTGTCTTAAGTTAATTCTGTGCGTTGACATCAGCTATTACCAGCTACATTTTTATAGCTCTTCAAAATAAGAAGCTAAATGTGACTTATAGCTCTCTGGTTTTCATTATAGTGTAAATGATTTAAAAATGAAATTATACTGATGAAGTTTAGCCTCTTGCGTCTCTGGTAAAGTCACTGTGCCGGACGGTTGGCGTTAACTACCCTTAGCAACTCGGGCAAACGGCGCCACTAGGAGTCGGATCAAGAACTGTTATTCAGTCTCTGCTTAATAAATCTTAATGGCTTTTCATCTGATTATGATGACTGACTGAGTCTCTGTGTCCCATTCAGTCGTACGTACACGCTATATCCTTTCGGTGAGAACGTCTGGGCTGACGGAACAACTGGCCTTAGCATTATTTTTAAACGCTATCTCTAACAATTTCACGAAGCATTCGAAGTGAACTACCTAACAGCTAGACCTCGAGTATCCTCTGTTAATCATCTCACAATGAAAAGCACCTTGGCTGCGGGTCTCAAATGTAGAAATTAATGTGTAAAAGGGACACGAAATATATTGTTGCCAGTAAAGAGAGATGAGGGAAAAAGAAAAAGATCGAACTGAATGACAATAAGTGAATAAACAAGTGCAATATCAATTATAACATAACCAAAGAAAGGTGCGCGCTCTCATTGGTCAAACCAGTGTCCTCCATTTGGCCTTGACAGAGCTGAATAACGTAGGCGCCATGCGCTAGGTTTTGGCGCGGAAACACGGATTTTGAGTCGTTTGCATGGTTTATCTTCTATTCTGTTGCTTCGAGGCGTTGTTTGCCTCGCCGCTTTTCGTTTGTAGAACAACTTTCGAAAATTTTGTACACATAGATATCTTGGAAAATTAATTTTTACCTTAAAAGCTTTGGAAATAGGAAAATACCTTCAACGACAACAAAATGCCTCGATTTTAAATGCCAGCTACTAATTATCTTCGCAAATTTCGCTAAATCTTAAACCTCGTACGCTTGAGCCCGCGTTGTTGACTGCATACCTTTAACGTTATTCAGCTCTGTCTTTGCCTATGGGTGTACGCTGCCGTGAGCAACTGCAAGGACTACTTTTTGCGCACTTATTTTTTCTGGCCGCGTAAGATTTGTCAAATTAAAGGGAACTCTTTTGCTTCAATGTATGAATGTTTTGTTATAAAACAAATGGTAAACACCAGAACATACACTGTTGAGTTATGGATGCACTTGAAAGGTTTGCTAAGCACTCAAGAAAATAGGGTCGCTCCCGGCTATCGCCTCACGCGACTCTCACGCTTCTTTCATGGTTAGCAACCTCCTGCGAGTATCCATAACTCAATTGTGTATGCTGTGATGTTTACCATTTGTTAATTGACGTCTTCACTTGATAAAGGGCTCCATGAACTGTAAAAACATGGCCTGTTTCACGCAGCTACATCAGGGTATGCAGGGGCGTATCCAGGATTTTTCAAAGGGGGGGGTCACAGCGGCTACTCACCATTTACATCGCTGCTCTCCCACGTGTATATCAGCGGGCTCAGTCGTATTATCGCAGCATGAAGGCCCATATTAACTAAATACAAGAGCCGTTGACGAAAATACTTACAAAAATTTTTTTTTTAAGTGGGCTTTTCAACAATGGCTTTTACGGCCAAGATATTGTCCTGGCGTTTTCACCACCTGAATATTGTAGGTTGTTTCCTCTAAAGAAGGCCTACCAAGGGGGGGATCACGGGCACCCCAGGACCCACCCTGGCTATGCTCTTGGTATGTATGCAATCATTGCTGCTACTAATGATGAACTGCGAAGGTTTCTTTAGATCACATACAAACGCGTAACGTGAAAAAGTTTATTTGTGCGAACGTGAGCGGCTTTCCGCTGAAAAAAACTAAGGCGCGCAGTGAAAAATGACTCAAATGAATTTAAGTGTTAGTCTAAAGGTATTAAATACCTTTGGGCTAACAATTAATTTCTTTATTTTAATGAACTTTATTCAACACACACCTGTTACAAATATTAATGATACTACTCACAAAAAAATACTACAAAGAGAAACGCACTTAAGATACACTATTTGCAAAAGGAATGGTTACTTGCATTTACACTACCAACGGGAGAATTTCCATTACTTACATGATATTTGCTTGATACACATACACACAAAAAAAGAAATAATTCATTTTATTATCCAACTACTCCTAGACGAGTACAAATAACGCCATAGACGAGTACAAATATCACGCGGTATTTGTACTCGTCTATTGTAGTACCCGTTAAACAGGTTTTCTCGCATCGCGCAAGCGAAGAATTGGATTGTAGTTAGGAAAAAAAAAAGTGGCGGACAATTTGAATCATATTTCCGACGACAAAAAGTCAGAATGGCTGGCAAATATAGATCCAAGTCCATTAAATGAATCGAACGAAGAAAAACAGTTTGACGACCAGAAAATTTCTTCATTTAATGAAGATAATAGAAACAGCAACACAACAACGCGCCAATTCCATTCCGCTTCGCATACTTCTGTCACGGACTCCCTGTAAATAAATATCCGCGAAATTCGCCCGCACTGAAATAACACGTTTTGGCGTGTTGGATAATAAATAACTTATTAGACGTTTTGTTGTGTAGTATCGCTGAGTATTTTTACTCGTTATTTATGTTTTGTCTCGCCCTACGGGCTCGTAAAAATACGGCACAACTCATAAAAATACTCAGCGATACTACACAACAAAACGTCTAATAAGATATATGTACTTACGTTCATAAGTTTGTTTTTTGTACTTACAATTACTTAAAAAATTGATTAGTCACATTTCTTATGAAACATTGTTATCGGATATTATTTACTCTGTTCACACTATTTAATTGATGCTATTTACACTATTTGTTTAAGGCGAAAGAAGCATTCACTAATGATACTGT